AAGAATGGTGGAGTGGTGGCCATAGGTTGGGGGCAGCTGGTGGCGGTGGGGAAGGGTTGGGTTGTTGGGGTGGTGGGGCTAGTCGGGTGTTAGGGGCTTTAATTTTTTTTATTTTAAAAGAACTTTCTAATTGTAAAGTTGCCACTTGATCCAAAAAAGAAAATCAATAAATTTGCCAAGTCAATGACCATTCTGCACAGAAATTTGTCCTGAAAATCCCAACCACAGCTTAACTAGTTACATCAAAAATCCTATTCGATTGAACTAAACACCGAAAGCAATGCTTCTGATCAAACACAAAAAAAAAACCCCCTAAAGCAATGCTTCTGATCAAACACAAAAAAAAAAAACCCCTAAAGCAATGCTTCTTGTAGGACGTCCATAGCATTTACTAGTTTTGCCTGTGCACCGCCTATGGCCACGAAATGACAGAAGAAGAAGGGGACTGCAAAGGAAAAAGAGCACGAAGGTGTGAGAACAAAGTTCAAATTAGCTCGTAGAGGAAAAACTATACAGATTAACTATTCACCAGAGGGCATCATTCTCACGTTTTGACCATTTTTCTTGCGATTAGACCTTGCAATCATAATGCTCAACCTCCTTTTTTCCTAGCAGAAAAACAAGGAGATATTATTATTTAGTCATAAATTACAAGTGATTCTCAGTATAAATTAACACACTAAAATATCACTTGGTACGCATTAACACACTAATGAATTGTCTCAAATCCCTGTGTACTAAAGCTGCACAGATGCAATTTAAATCAATGTTTGGTGACAACCGCGCTTTTAATGGGCAAGGCTGAAAAGAACTGGATCAAAACCCTATCAAACCTATAAAGCAAAGCTTAGGTCAAGCCTGCAATGGGTATGGCATATTAAGTAACCTAAACTCAAAATTTAAGACCTCAATGACTTAATGCTCATGTTTTAGTCTAGTGAAAAAAAAAGGTCAAAGATCTTAAGGGAGTAAAATAAAAACCTTCAACAATCAAAAAAAGAAGATTGATACAGCTGTTTGTAACACTAACCTCTAATGGAAACCTCTCTTCATGGGATATATGTGTATTACCAGAGGGAATTGTAAACAGCCCACCAGAGGAAGTGGTAGTTAGTCCAGCAGTACCACCTGTTTGTGCAATAGAAGCTACAGGATTGATTGGGCTGGAATTAAATGGGGAAGTTGTTGGAGCTGGAGCAGGAAATGCAAACATAGATGTGGGCGTGACTGATGAACTAAAAAGAGACGGAGATGAAATTTGTCCAGGTACAGAAAAAGATGATGCTGAAGGTATAAAAATATTGGGTGAAATCAATGGTGTAAATGAGGATCCAAAGGCTGTAGGAGTAAAGGCTGGAATTTGTGGAGCAAATATATTAGGTAGAGTTGAGGTATTCAAAAGACTCGAAGAAGTTTGAATAAATGCTGGAGCAGGATTCAAAACGTTTGACTGGGTGGTAGACAAGTCAAAGCAGTTCCCACCAACAAGAGCCCGTCCACCTGAAATTTATGATTATACATTCATAATATACAGAACGTAGTAAAGCTCATCATTGCTCACAAGCAAAAGTTTTGAGGATCTGAAATATTTTAAATAAAATATACCTCTATCCCCCAGTTGATAATCCTGCCATCTCAGTTCCTCATGACTTTTGTCTCCATAAATCCGCATCCCACATATTGATTGGTATAACCCACTTAATGAACCACCATCTGGTCCAGCTATTTTAGTGTAAGGCGCCACTCTACTTCCCCCAAATTGGCCCCCAGAAGCTGATATCCCACAGGCAGTGTTTCCACATGTTGTTGATTGAACTCCTGCATCATAACTTATAATAAGAATATAATACAGCTACAACGAAACAAAACACAATGAG